AGAGAGAGAGAGAGAGAGAGAGAGAGAGAGAGAGAGAGAGAGAGAGAGAGAGAGAGAGAGAGGCAGATGGAAGATGCTTATGGATGGGATGTACAGGAGGGCTAGAGGTGTCTATTGATGAAGGGCTAGTTCAGGGGATGGTATATGTGGTGCCCTGGGCTGTGTATTGCATTCGATTTCTCAACAGCGGAGCTTTTGGGAAATCTTTCACTTGAGGAGTGGTATATGTGGTGCCCTGGGCTGTGTATTGTCTCCTTGGGGTGCCAATCTTTCACTTGAGGAGTGAGCTGCGAAGAGGTTATTCTTTTGTTCCCTTTGTGGAGCGTTTCACAAGGCTCAGGCAAGCCGCAATCTTGAATACATTCAAGGTGTCAGCCAGCTTCTGTTGGCCAGGCCAAAGGATCGCATCGCATTACTCTTCTGTCTTTGTCTGTTTCTGTTGATTGACGTGTCCATTGATTTGTGGAGTGATGGACGGCACCCAATTCACACCCTGTTGTGTGTAGGCATTGCTAGATCTCAGTATCTCGCCCAGGAGTGTGAACTGTGTTCCATTTCTCTCCCTTTTTTTTTTTTCCCCCTTTGCGACTCTGTCATCGTCAACGCCGCGCCTCTTCATTGGTGACGACAAGTGACGTCACCCAATTTACGTCAGGTTGTGTAGGCATTGCCGGCTGTCAATATCTTGCCCACAAGTGTGAACTGTGTTTCATTTGTCTTCCTTCGTTTTTCCCGTAGCGACTTGTTCTCAGATCACAGTCGCACCTCTTCATTGGTGATGAGAAGCGAGAGTAGTGTCAGTTGGTGTTCGCAGTTTGTTTGTCCGCTCTTTCGGCCTCGTTGTGTTTCGAACGACCTTTGCTCCTCCGTCTACTCATCTTGCAGTTCTCTGTGAAATCAGCTCCGTTGGTAACTGGGGGGGGGTAATTACTAATTACACACCCATGCGAAGAAGGTTTGAACTTGGAGGTGTTGCATCTGCGCTGCATTCATTCAGCTATTGCTCACCCATGTGAGGAAGGTTTGAAAGCTTGGGAGGTGTAGCGTCCGCACTGCCACCCATTCGACTCCGCTTGCCAGCAGAAGAGTTTGAAAGTCGACCATTTTCGTTACGCTCCCGGTTCGCCCACAACGTGTTCCTTGCACCTGTGTACTGGCGGATTCCTGATCCGTCAAACCTGCTCTCTCATCGAAGAACAGGCAAAAGCGTTCGTCTCAGCAGAGTCAATAAATTGTCAGGATCCCCTCAATTGTGGAGGTCGATGGACGTCGTCCGTCAATGTTTTGCAAAAAGGCCCGCACCCGCTCTCTCATTCAAAAACAGGCAAAAGGCTTATTCTGGCCTATCAGTAATTGTCCGGTTGCCGAGGGCTTTTCGATGTCAGTGGTTTTCGGTCCGTAGAAGTGGGAAAAGTTTGGACGTGAGGAGGAAGCTAGTCACCGTAAAAATAGGGATATAGTTGCGGCGGTATGGTATAGACCTGCTGAGGCTAGTGGGGTCTGTCATGTACCGTTGGGCTGCAATAGTACTTGGATAGGTGACCTCCTGGGACGGCCTGGTCCTGTAGCTTCAGGCAAGACAAAAAAAGAGTTATGCTTGCGCTGCTGAAGTCTATACTCTTTCTGCGCCTGGAGAATTCCACCGAGGAAGAGGAGGAGGAGGTGGTCACATCCAAACTCAGAAGCCAAGTGGCGCTGGGCTGCAATAGCGCCGGGCTGCAATAGCGCCGGGATGGGTGACCTCCTGTGACGGCCTGGTGATGTACCTGCAGGCAAGACGAAAAAAAAAGTTGTGCCCTCTCTGCTGAATTCTGTATTGCTTCTGCGCCTGGAGAATTCCACGGAGGAGGAGGAGGAGGAGGAGGAGGAGGAGGTGGTTGGGAAAGGAGAGAGGGCCCTTGGTCGGCTACCGGATGCAGTTATTGGTGGCAGCTCCCAGAGCATGACGGTGGGTTTCCTGATAAAGTGCTCAGCAGCTCTGAGTGCTATGCCAAGCCTCGCCTGCCCTTCGGCCGCGTTCTTGTTGTCGTTCCCTGTTTCGTCAACCGGCGGAAGGTCTCGTAGGAGTTCACACAGATGTAAGCGGTCAAGCGAACAGCACATGCGCTGGTCATTGCATGCTGCAGGGGTTTTGCACATGATCGGTCTGCGATTAGGTCCGAGTAGTCTGTCGATTGCAAGCAGGAGGAAGCGGTTGTGGTGGTGGGGGAGGGAGGTGTGGGGAGGGAGGGAGGATTGTCTGTCTCCATGGTGCTGAGGTACGGGAGATAGAAGGAAGCCTACTGTTTTTCATCCATATTCTGCTACAGAGAAAGAATGAAGTGGCGGTTGTTAATCATCGTAGATGCTTGTTGTTCCTTGAGAGCAGGAATGGCGTCAAGGGGCTCATGGCGTCTCGAGGGGCTCATGGCACCGACGAAAGAGTTTGGACTGGATGAAGACCGGTGTATGTGTGTCCCATCATGTGCTCTGCAGTACACGGGTAACCGGGGGAGATTGCATGTGTTAGCTCTTTCGGCAAGAACCTGCGGGCTCCGGAAAATTTGAGAGTGTGTATGGGGTTTCCCCTCATGGGTGGGAACGCCTCCGGGAATTTGTCGTTGTGGTGTCCAACAGAGGGTTGGGTGATTTGACGAAGCCGGTTGTGTGTGTGTGTTCACACCACCAGCGGTGATAGTGGATGCTTCGGGTTGCCGTTTTGATGCGGCCTAAGCGTGCGGTTGCTGGTGTCGGAAACTCCCAAGTATGGCTGTCCTCTTTCGACTCGCCATGCATATGGAAAACAGAGGAGGGGCATCGGGACATCAAGCTAGGGAAATGGAAAAAGGAGGAGGGGCATTGGGTTGTGTGCAGAAGGGTTGAGATTCTTGAGAATGTAGGTAATATATTCTTTCTAATAACGATTGATTCAGTTTGACTGTCAGCAATATACTTTTTTTTTTTTTTTTTTTCCTGATCTATTTTCGATTTTTCCTCTTTCCTCCATAAGTGACAAATTTAGGACAAGAATCGCCAGTTTGCACCACATGGGAAAGTAGAGAACGTAACTGTCATGCGTCTAAAAACCGACCTCTACGACAACCTGGGCTTAGAGGCATTACGCATGAAGTGACGGGGAAAAAAAAAAAAAAAAAAAAAAAAAAGGCATTATGCATGAAGTGACTTGTAATGTGGGTGCCCGAAGAACGTGGTGTGCATTAAAATAAGCTCCGCAACCTGCGGAGCAGCAAAACAGAGCGGAAATTTGCTGCAAAATCCTGCGCCGCATGGGCAAAATTCGGGGTCAACCAAAAAAAAAAAGAAGTTGGGGAGAGGGTGAATCGAAGTTCCCACGCCCAGCCAAAATTTGGACATCGCCCRCGCAAATTTGTTTCAGGGGCGCGCTGCCCCAAAAACTCGGTGTGCTGTCATGTTTGCTGTACACAACTTCATGCTATCTTCAGTGTATCCGAGTCCTTTCAGAGGTCCAATACAGTCATGATGAGGACACGTCTGTGGAACCGTTGCTTTCCTCTCATTACTTCCAGATATAGAAAACGACAGAACTGACAGTTGTGTTTCCTTGGTGCTTTTGCTAAAAAAAAACAAAACAAAGAGTGAACGTCCGCGACATCCTCATGGGGCGTGGCTCCGTTTTTGGGCAACGGATACTCCTGACAATGGGCCTCGCTCCACCACTCTTGCCACTCTCGAAATGTGCAAAACGAGAGTGAATCTTACCCAAGAACAAGTAAAGATACATCGCCAAGATTTTTGTCTTTTGTGCATTTCTGGAGTAGTGCAGCGACGCCCTAAGACCTTTCTAGGTAGCACTGCCGATGAAAACATCTCAAGGACCCTCCTCACACAGATGGATCTGTCATCCGTCTTGCCGCAAGTGCTTCATCATCTCAAGGACCCTCCTCACACAGATGGGTCTGTCATCCGTCTTGCCGCAAGTGCATCGGTCATAGCGATAGGCTGAGCACTCTAGGAGGATGCTGTCGCCGTCTGTTGATGGTATACGGAACGTAAATTTTGCGTCAGCAGAATCTTTATTGGGGAATAAGGCTTTGTAAGATTTACTTGGAGATCCGTATGCAATGCAAGTTCCACCGACAGTTTGGAGCAGAGAAAAAACAAAGCATTTCAAATTTTGTGACATCCGGCGTCATCAAAGTGACCTCACATTATTCATGCGGTGCTTACATGCGTTTTGTTGCTTGTGCAATACCCCGCCCGATATGCCCTGACGTGGCCCTCAGGCCACACGCAGGCCGCGACCCCGGTCTGAGGCCGCAAAGGGCAGAGGGAGAAATTCCCTTGTTGACCCAGGGCCTGCGCGCCTGACAGTTGACTTCGCTCAACTGCCCGGGCCAAGAGTCAAAGTCTGCATGTACCCAGCCCAGGCCGCCGGTCAGACACACACACTTGTTTGTATGCAGGTACCAAGACAGCATCAGGACCAAGTGAAAGTCTGCAACTGTATGCAATCGAGGCCCTTGGCTGTGAGTCAATCTGGGTCACTGTGGGTGGGAGACCTGAGGCAGGTCAACTCGGTCAATCACTACATAAGACCCTGCCTCCAGGGGGTCAGCATTCAGTCTTGCGATGCTGCCTTGACGCTGGCTCGATGCTGGCTGGGCGCTGGCTTGACGCTGGCTCGATGCTGGCTGGGCGCTGGCTCGATGCTGGCTGGGCGCTGGCACTGTGCTGGCACTGTGGACGGCGACGTGGGACTGAGCCAGCACGCTGGCGCCTTCTCTGCTGAGCGCCAGCCTATGCTGATGTGGCGTGTGCCACCTGTCTTCATTGCTGATGTGGCGCACGCCACCTGTCTTCATTGCTGATGTGATGCATGCCACCTGTCTTCATTGCTGATGTGGTGCAGGCCACCTGTCTTCAGTGCTGATGTGGGATTGGCCACCCTGTCAATATTGGGTGATTGGACGCGACAAGGAGGGAGAGATCGGGAACTGTGGATGGTTGATTGGGATATTGATACTTACCTGAGGTGGACGTCGATACTGTGCGCTGCTCTGATTGTTTCCATCGTCTTCACGAGGGAACAGTGCCACGTGGCACCTCAATGTGATCAGGAACTTTCAGGCTCGGTATTGGATACTGTTTGATGACGTGGAGGCGAGGGGAAGCCCGGAGAAGGAGTGGTGAATGTTGGGCTATCCTCTTGATGGTCATTGATGTTATTATCTTTTCCACCCTCTAAACTGTCTATTCCCCTCTCACCTCTCTTCGTCCTCTGGAAACGAGATATTGTATCAGAGATCACCTTCATGATTATGGAAGACATTGGTCTGAGTTACTTGGTACTTCGACATCTGGCGAGTATCTACCAGTCTGGGTTCATTGCAATTTGGTATCAGAGCATACCTTCTTCGTCACGATCTGCTGTCAGGCGCCACGTGGTGCCCAGGTAAGTGGGAGGTGCCGCACGTGTATGGGACTAAACGTGTTTATAAACGTGCGTGATGAATATTGCAGGTCTAAACATTGAGTACCACACGTGTGTGCAGCCCTCTTGAAGATGATGTTGTGGACATTTTGAAGAAGAAGACGGCAACATTGCTTACGTGGCGCTTTGTTGCTGTTTTGGCAATACCGGTGAGAGCATCGTTGGCAGCAGGCTGACGTGGCGCTGGTGAGAGAGAGTGGATATTGCGATTGCTAACGTCGAGGGATGCTGACGTGGCACCCTACTACTGGCAGGGCTTTGTCTGACGTGACACGTACCTGTGTCACGACTGCCTGTTGACGAAGCGCTCCACACGTTGATCTGATGTGGCATACCAGTGTTGGATGTGTTGGCAGATCGTGCATTGCTGATGTGGCATCCTTCTCAAAAACCTTGCAGGTCATTGACGCTGACGTGGTAGACTCTGTGGAGCTGCTGTGTTGGCATTCCAGGGGTGACACGCGGCATGCTTGGCACGCTGCTGTGGGTGAGGTGTCGATACTTGCACTCGTGTGTTGACGGGCGCTACAGCTTCACGACTGTTGTAGTGCCACGCGCCAGCCCTTGTGTTTGGCTGCATTGGTTCTGCAGGTGTTAGAGCTGTAGAAGAAAGAATGATTGCTGTTGATTGTGTTGGCTGACTTGTCTTGGCTGTTCTGTTAGGACGTCATCACACGTAGGACAGACAACAGGAGTTAGAAATAGATAATTGAAATCTGTTTCTTCCGGGGCTGGTCCCTGGATGTACCGGGGAGCCCTACCCCATCCGCGGTCCTGCCGGTTGGACCGGCCGGTGGCCCGGGCCGGTTCCCTCCCTGTTGCCGCCAGCACATTTTCGCTGGGGCCGGATTTTTTATTTTTTTTGCTGGCGCATATGTGTTCCCGAGGCCTCGTGGGGGTCGGCCCTGCCCCGCAATTTTGAAACCGGGTCCTGTAGGCCCGGATTTTTCAAGTCCAATAAGTGGCCAATCTTGGCCGCCGATCGTCGCAGATCAGCGGCAAAGATCGGCCAGGACCCCATTTTTTAAGAAAAACGGGCGGAGGATATCCGCCACTGATCTTTGCAGATCAGCAGCGGAGAACCGCCACACATATTTCTTAAGATGTGGGTTGTCATTTTGTGGTCCAACGGACCAGTTACCATTGGCAACATCTGATGCTCTTTCACCCTCATCCACGAGGGGAACACTATGCTTGTGATGAGGCTCTGCTGAGATTATATCCTTCTGCAACGTTCCTGGCATCTGTGGAAAAAGTTATGGGTTCGGCTTTTGGAATTGTGATGTCAGAGCCATCCGAGGTGCAAGCCCAAGAATGGACTTAAGCTATATTCTTCTCTCTATCCATCTTGACCTTGCTCCACTACATGTATCTGGACAGACTGCCAGGCAAGATACTTCCAGACTGATAACTCACCTTATGTAGAAACCATCAAACAGAAAACGCTTTGCCTCCACGAGCTGAAAGCTGGAACCGTAACTCTTCTGCTGTCGAGTTATACTCTGGAAGAGCTGTAACTTTTGACAAGGATCTCCTCTCATCATATCTGGTTCAGCTTGTGGGGTATCAAATGACACACTCCACGAAATGCGCCAGCCAGGGGGGGACGGATAAGTGAACTTGCTTACTTGACCCCTCCCCATGGAAGCTATAGTTCCCTGACTATGTCAATAATAACCCCCTGCCCCCCTCTGGAAGCCCCCTGAAAAATATTGCACCTTTAAAATTTTATTGCGGATTCCAACAGCTCTTGAAGAGCGCAGTCCGAATCTGCCAAAAAAAAAAAAAAAAAAAAAACATTGGGCACTATTTTTCAAAACCGGTTTACCGGTTCAACCCCCCTGGGCTGGTCCGGCTCTGGTTGGGCCCGGGTAGCTCAACCGGCTGGTTGCCGGCCCAGCACTGGTTTCTTCTTGTTTTCGTTGATTATTTCTTGCTGTAGAAAATACGAGTGTGGCTGTGGAATTTATTTTTGTCTTTTGAAATTATTTATTGTGCGGCATTCACATGCTGCGAAACATGACTTATCTCTGGAAATGTCTGCGTGCTTCCATTCTTGCACGATACATCCCTCTTCTTTTTCCCTATCCCTCTCATTGTCTATTCTAATGCAGGAGGGGGAGAATTGAGAACTCGTGGTCCAATATATGCAAGAAGGCAATAGGCCTTCTCCGCCAGTTGCTCGACGAGGTACATGGAGCCAGCACAAAAGTCGAACGGCATTTTCACGACCAGTTCAATCTGCTTGCTGCAGAAGAGGAACTGAAGGCCACTGAAACTGCCGTTCAGATGCTGGAATCCGGCAATCGAATTGTAAAACTTATAAAGCAAAGGCGAATAGCCCTTGATCGTTATGTCGCCGATCATCTGGAGAAGATGGACCAAAAGAGAAAGGGAGAAGAAGGAAAAGAAAGAAAGGAAGAACCAGAATGCTGGTTGAAATGAGACAACGATTTCACTATGAAGAAACAGAAACTGATCGTGCATCCGTCTCGTAGGCCATGATGGCCTATCTTGTTCATCTTGAGACCAAAAGTGATGGTATATTTTGTCTATTTCTAGATTAAATAGGGAATGAATTATGAATGATAATTTATCATACTCATATACATAATAAAATATCATATACCATATACATAATAGAATATATAATATAATATAATACCGTTGCATTAAAGATGGTAACCAGACTCTTCAAGGGTAAGGACAGGGCAAGGATTGAGGAGGACACCAGGGGGGAGGAAGAAAAGAAGAAACCCCAAGAAAAACTCATGAAGGATGCAATGAAGAGAGTGACATTAGAGAAACGTGAAACTTCCAAGAAGGAACCCGAGGAACCGGCGGACCAAGGAAAAACTGGCCAAATAAATTGAGAAGCCAAAGAAGAAAGAAAAGGTGAAAAAGAATTTGTCTTAAACCTACAACAACAAAAAAGGAGAAAATTTGTTGGTGTGGATAGTTGAAATCCAGACTTATTGCGGGACCGGGCCTGCTGAACCTGAGAGTCAGGGGACCATCTCCATGTCTTGCTTGGGAAACGTGGCCAAAGAGTGAGTCCTGTCCGAAGCCAAAGTTACTGGCTTTGAAGATATTGGGGCTAAGACCCTGACGCTCAAGTAGCTTCTCCAGAAAATAAAGGAGAGATTTTTTTACAAGAGGACGACCGATAAGACTTTTGAGTCTTTTGATGAACGCACCACTATATGCCAAAAGCGCTGGACTTCTGTGAATATTTGTTCTCGTAAGGTGGATCGTTTCTTGCAGGTACGTGGGCTCAATCTCCAGGATAACCAGGTCCTCTACATTTACTCACGTGCGTTGTTCGAGCCAATTGACAGACAACTCGTGGCGGAAGCAAAGTCTGGTAAGTTCATTTATAGGCAATTTCGCAATATCGCTCCCCAACAAGAGCAGATGACCGCGCAAGTAAAGGGAACCTATGCTTCGGTATATGACCCGGTTGGTAGGTATGACAAGCATGTCCTTCGGCGGCAAAAGCGTCAGGATCACATGCTCGTCTTTTCCGACGATGAAATCGTGGAACAGTTATCCCTCGATGAGTAGGACGGAGGAGGTAATGGCGGCAGCGAGTCTGGAAAGAGCGACGTTGTTGCCATGGTGACCAAGAAGGGTGACACCAATCAGTGGAAGAAGAAGAGGTCACCACTTGTTTCCCAAGCACCCTGGTATCGCGTTCGGGAAACCCTTGGAAATAATGGGTATGACACAAGAGGAATGACAGTCCAAGATGGTAACCATCGATCCCTTAAGTATAACACTGTGGGGCACATGTTAGCATTGTGCCCGCTGATCCGTAACGCAAAAGCGAGCAGCCAGTAGGAGTAGTATCCGCTCCTACTGAGTTGAGGGGTGTAGACAAAGGTGAGGTGCCAATAGCCCCTTTCAACCTCTCGAGTCACATGGCAAAGGATGACTTTTCTTCGACCCATCGTCCAGAACACCCCAATATTGTTCGTTGTTCTGTCTCACTGGACGATTCCCTTTACGAACTCGATTATGAACTTGTAGCTCTTATGAGTTGTGGACTAAGAAAGTTAAGTCTAAGGGTGAACTAATGATCGCGGACATAGAGATTGCACATACGCGAATAAGTGTTTTGTTAGATCCTGCGGAGCACGGCGAACATGTTCGCACCCCTTCATGTTCGCGCGAACGGCTCGCGAACATATCCGGGCGAACATTTTTTTTTTCGTAAAAAAAAAACATTTTATTTATTTTTTTTCGGTTTTTGATTTTTCACTCATGATTGGCTACAAATTTGAACATGACTCCAAGGCAAAAGTTGCTTGTATTGTTATTTTACATTACATATATGTTTTTCAGATTTTTTTTAGAATTGTTTTTTTTTTTTTTTTTTTNGCAGTTTCCAGAGCGAGTCTCTCCTTTTCCCGGTTCTCCATCTCTTCCTTCATCCTCACAACCCCTTCCTCCCTCTCCCTAAGCCGTCTCTCAAAATCCTCTCTCWCCTGCCGGGCATTCTCGACCTCTGCCTGCAAATCCCTCACCCTACCGCTTCGCTCCTCAACCTCGGTTTTCAGTGCAGACTCCCKTGTTTCTGCATCTTTTCGCTTTCTCTCCTCTTCATCTACCTGCTCCTCCAGCCTTTTTAGCATTCTCTGAAGGCTTTGGATCTCTGCGGTTTCCAGAGTGGCCCTCTCCTTTTCCTGGTTCTCCATCTCTTCCTTCACCCTCATAACCTCCTCCTCCCTCTCCCTAAGCCGTCTCTCAAAATCCTCTCTCTGCTGCTTGGCATTCTCGACCTCTGCCTGCAAATCCCTCACCCTATTGCTTCGCTCCTCAATCTCGGCTGCCAGTGCAGACTCCCTTGTTTCTGCATCTTTCCGCTTTCTCTCCTCTTCATCTACCTGATCCTCCAGCCTCTTTAGCATTCTCTGGAGGCTTTGTATCTCTGCAGTTTCCAGAGCGAGTCTCTCCTTTTCCCGGTTCTCCATCTCTCCCTTCATCCTCACAACCCCTTCCTCCCTCTCCCTAAGCCGTCTCTCAAAATCCTTTCTCTCCTGCTGGGCATTCTCGACCTCTGCCTGCAAATCCCTCACCCTACCGCTTCGCTCCTCAACCTCGGCTTTCAGTGCAGACTCCCTTGTTTCTGCATCTTTTTGCTTTCTCTCCTCTTCATCTACCTGCTCCTCCAGCCTTTTTAGCATTCTCTGAAGGCTTTGGATCTCTGCGGTTTCCAGAGCGACCCTATCCTTTTCCTGGTTCTCCATCCATTCCTTCACCCTCACTACCTCCTCCTCCCTCTCCCTAAGCCGTCTCTCAAAATCCTCTCTCTCCTGCCGGGCATTCTCGACCTCTGACTGCAAATCCCTCACCCTATCGCTTCGCTCCTCAACCTCGGTTTTCAGTGCAGACTCCCTTGTTTCTGCATCTTTCCGCTTTCTCTCCTCCTCCTCTACCTGCTCCTCCAGCCTCTTTAGCATTCTCTGGAGGCTTTGGATCTCTGCAGTTTCCAGTGCTAGTCTCTCCTTTTCCCGGTTCTCCATCTCTTCCCTCATCCTCACAACCCCTTCCTCCCTCTCCCTAAGCCGCCTCTCAAAATCCTCTCTCCCCTGCCGGGCATTCTCGACCTCTGCCTGCAAATCCCTCACTCTATCGCTTTGCTCCTCAACCTCGGCTTTCAGTGCAGCCTCCCTTGCTTCTGCATCTTTCCGCTTTCTCTCCTCTTCATCTACCTGCTCCTCCAGCCTCTTTAGCATTCTCTGGAGACTTTGGATCTCTGCAGTTTCCAGTGCTAGTCTGTCCTTTTCCCGGTTCTCCACTTCTTCCTTCATCCTCAAAACCTCTCCCTCCCTCTCCCTAAGACGTCTCTCAAACTCCTCTCTCTCCTGCCAGCTTCTCCCCTTTGCATTATCAACGTCTGCCTCCAAATCCCTCACTCTATCGCTTCGCTCGTCAACCACCGCTTTCAGTGTGAACTCCCTGGTTTCGGCGTCTTTCCGCTTTCTCTCCTCTTCATCTACCTGCTCCTCCATCCTCTTTAGCATTCTTTGAAGGCTTTGAATCTCTGCGGTTTCCAGAGTCAACCTCTCCTTCTCACTGCTCTCCATCCATTCCTTCATCCTCACAACCTCCTCCTCCCTCTCCCTAAGCTGTTGCTCGAGGATCTCTCTCTCCCACACCATTCTCTCCTTCAGCTTCTCGATTTCCTCCTCTAAATCTCTAGCCCTTCCACTCCGCTCTTCGACCTTGCATTTCAGTGCGGACACCATCATTTCTGTGTCGTTCCGCTTTCCCTCCTCTTCATCGGCCTCCTCTTGCATTCTCTTTATCCTTCTCTCAAGGTTTTGTAACTCCGTGGTTTGCAAGACCAACCTCTCCTCACTCCTCTCCATCTGCGATCGTATCTTCACCATCTCCTCCTCTCTTTCCGTGTGCTGCGTCTCAAGAGTCTCTCTCACCCATACACTCTGCTCCTGTACCTTCTTTACCTGCTCCTCCCTCTCCCTAAGCTGTTCTTGAAACTCTTCCTGTTTCTCCTTTACCTTTTTCTCGAGGACCTCCCTCTCCCTCATACTCTTCTCGAGCTCCTCATCCTTCCACTTCAATTTTCTCTCCAACTCCTCCCTCTCCCTCATGCTCTCTGACTCTCTCAACTGCCTCTCCTGTTCCTCTGCCTCCCTTCTATCCCTCTCCTTCGCAAGCTCCTCCTCCATCTCCATGATCTTCCTTCTTAGCTCCTCCGTTTCCCTCTGTCTATCCTTCTGCTCCTGTTCTCTTTCCATCCTTTCTCTCTCCCTCGCAAGATTTGTGCTGTACAGTTCTTCCTCCTTTTCCTTCAGCTTTCGTTCCACCTCTTCCCTCTGTCTCGCTCTCTCCTCCTCCAGTTGGCTTCTCCTGCACAAGCATCTATTCAAGGCTTCTTCTGTCTCTCTGGACATTCGTTTCCACTCATCTCTGTCCCGTGCCAACTGTTCGAGCTGCTTCTGTTCCTCCTGCGGGTCAACGGCCACCAGGCTATCGCTTTTGCCCATGTTCTCCACGAGCTGGCAATGGCAGCATATCACCTTACGTTGTATGTCGTCACCATCCACCGTAAGTCGATCTTCGTCTTCGAGCAATCTCATAGGCTCGTCAGGAGGCTCTTTGCTACTCTGGCCACACTCTAAAAAATGCCGGGACTGTCGGCCCTCAGAATGTGACAAACAGCTGGGGTCAGGCGATTCTGCCGCCAATCGCGGTGAGGCTTTAATGATTTCAGCTCTGGCAAGGTCGCCAGGACACTCTTTGCTACTCTGGCCTAACTCAAAAAAATGCGGAGAGTGGCGGCGGCCTACAGAATGTAATAAACAGCTGGTATCGGACAATTCTGCCGCCAATTGCGACGAGGCTTGAACGATTTCAGCTCCACCCCCTAGGAGTTGTCTTGAATGTAGGCTTAAATTGACAGTCTGGTTCCATCCGTGTGATTGCTCCTGCAACACAGAGTGACGGTACATACAACAAAGGTGACTTTTGGCAGTAAAAAAAAAAAAAAAAAACAAGGGTACAATGACATCAGTAAGGAAGTAGACGCCAGAGAGAATGGATCTTTTTCGGTTCTTTTTGCTTGTTTTTTTTTTTTTGTTTTGTTTTGAAGCGCGATGGCCTCAAGATATCATCATTTACAATTTTACACTGACCAGGCCCAGGTAATTTCATAGTTATTTTAAGTTTTAACACTTTTATTCATCTGATTCCGAATGGATTCGAACTTGGGTCTGTTCATCAACAGCAGAGTGAGGGTACAACAACAGCCATAAGAAAGTCGACACCAAAGAGAATGGATTGTGTGAGTGTGATCCTTTCAAAAAAAAAAAAAAAAAGAGGGTGATGACCTTGAGTGAGATATCACCATCTAGCTCACGCCCCCCCTATGTGTGATCCTTAAATAATAACTTCAGAATTTCAGAGTTATTTTATTCGATGGATTCCGATGGATTCCGATGGATTCGAACTTGGGTCAAAGGCAGATGAGTAAAATACAACAATTGAACAATTCTGAAGATTCGAGGGCCAATCAGTTCGATGATCATATCCACAGGCCGTCACCCTTTTCAAAAGGGAAAAAAAAAAAAAAGAAAAGGGCCCCTGGCGGGCCTGGCCTTGAGAGAAATCATTGTCGAACTGACCAACCACAGGTATTCCAGAATTTCCATTAATCCTGTCTCTTATACACATCTAGATGTGTATAAGAGACAGGTGCTACGTAGGTTAGATCCAAGATCGACGTAGTCTTACATCTCAAAGAAGGCAATTCGTAAATTGCATTTGGGAATGAAGATAAAATATTTACCTAGACCTATCACGTCTATGCTGACCGACAAGAGCACGATCATTGTCTCTCAATATGTCGATCGTGTGAAATGTTATTTTAGGACTACGGAAGAAAATAAAATTTTACATTAAATATCATTCCTTTTTGAAAAAAATCTACCTTTTGACAATGATTTAGGGAATGGATTGGCACGAGGAAGTCGACTCAGAAGTCTGGTTCAAGGAGAAGATCGTAAAGCTTAAGGACGAAAAGTCCGAACTAAAAACGATTAAATTAATAAATTATATCACAAGCATGAATCTGAATCGCCACTTTCCTTTTATTGCACGAGTTATCCAACCTTTAGGTCTATGGTCTCAAAGACGAAGTTGGATCAGGATGTGATGATGGTGCTCGTTAAGCGAGCAAATGAGTGTTCCTCATTCTATCCTCCTTTTGTTGAGAAGATTCTCAACGAGTATAAGGACTTGCAAATTGAACCAACGGGAATCACCGAGTGTGCTATTAAGCACACCATTGAGATAATTTTCGGTAGTAAGATTCCCAAGGGTCCCGTTTATCACATGTCTCCTAGGGAAATTGAGGAACTTAGAAAACAACTGCAAGAACTCACTGCGAAAGGATGCATTCGCCCGAGCTCATCTCTTTATGGTGCTCTTGTCTTAATTATGTCAAAAAAAGAAGGTGAACTTAGATTATGCATTGATGATCATGGGTTGTATGTCGTCACTGTCAAAAACGCGGAACCACTCCCACGAATTGACGATTTATTGGACCAATTGCAGGGATGCAGATACTTCAGTAAAATTGATTTCAAGTCGGGTATCACCAGATCGAGGTGGCTCCTGAAGATCAACACAAGACAGTTTTCCGAACCAAGTATGGTAACTACGAGTTCGTGGTTATGCCTTTCGGGTTGACTGGTGCTCCTGTCACCTTTCAAAGGTCTATGAATGAACTATTTTGTCAATGGTTGGATTAGTTCGTATTTGTTTATCTCGATGATATCCTCGTGTATAGTAAAACACTTTAGGATCACGAGAAACACCTACGAATGGTTCTTCAGAGTTGAGCGAGGACAACTTCAAACTGAATCCTAAGAAGTATGAGTTCGCGAAACCTGAAGTGCTAAACTTAGGGCATATAGTGAACGAAGAGGGACTAAGACCCGAAGAGAAGAAGATAAAAACAATCATAGATTGACCCAAACCTAAGATTGTCACTGAGCTCAGGTCTTTTCTAGGACTCGCTAGTTATTACAGGAAGTTTGTAAGAGGGCAACTTCAAACTGAATCCTAAGAAGTGTTGTATTTAAGGCATATAGTGAACGAAGAGGGACATAGACCCGAAGAGAAGAAGATAACAACGATCAGAGATTGCCCCCAACCTAAGACTGTCACTAAGCTTAGGTCTTTTATAGGACTCGTTAATTATTACAGAAAGTTTGAAAGAAACTTCTCCTTAATAGTTGCGCGTATGAGAATACTATTAAAGAAATAAGAACCTTGGTTGTGAAATAAAGATTGTGAGTCCTCGTTCAAAAAGTTAAAACATGTACTGACTCATTACCCTGTCTTAAAGATTACTGATCCTTCTCTCTCTTTCATTGTCACGGCTGACACAAATCGGTATGAAATCGAGGTTTTGCTACAACAGGACGACGGTAAGGGATATAGACTATTGAGTTTATGTTTAGGAGACTTCCGTTAGAGAAAGTTTTCAAGTCACACTACGAAAGGGAATTGTATGCCTTGGTTGCTGCACTAGCCACCTAGAAACACTACTTGTTCGGGAGACACTTCACTGTCTATTCAAATCACTCTACTTTGAAATGGATAAAGACTTAACCGAGACTCTCTGATAACTTAGTAAGATGGTCCGCTTTCATTGATACCTTTGACTTTGAGTGTTGTGGATGCTTTGTTCAGACGTGCAAATTTTTTTTGGTACAATTGTCTCTTATCTCGATATTGAGAATGAAATTAAAGAACAAATACGAAAGGGTTATGTAAACGATCCTATTTGAAGTCCTATCATTGAGACCCCATAGAAAAACCCTTAACAATTCTTTGAGTATCGAATGACTGATGGTCTACTATTCTTTGTAGATAAAACCGAAGAAAGGCTGTGTATTCCTCACCGAAAACAGATCAAAAGTTTGATCATTGAGGAACATCATGATGCTGAGGGACACTTTGGTTTTAAGAAGACGTCTGCCGATGTAAGGGAACGTTTTGAATGGAAAGGAATGAAAGAAGATGCACTGACCTACGTGCGGAGTTATCTTGTTTGTTAGAGAAACAAACCCTCACATGAGAATCCTTTGGGACTATTGAGACCACTACCTATACGAAGTGAGCCAGATGAGTTCTATCTCCATAGACTTCACGAGTCTTACCAAGGATCGAAACGGCAACAGTCAGGTAATGGTTATTGTAGATCGATTCTCGAAATATGTTATGTTCATTCCTTTGCCTGGTGAAGCTAAGACTGAATTAGTCATCCATAAATTTCAGATGCGATGGGTATTGGAATATGGGTTTCCAAAAAACATTGTTTTTGATAGGGATGTTAAGTTCACTGATATGTAATGATAAAAGTTGATGGAAGTCTATGGCACCAAGTTGATCATGTCGTCGGGGAGACATCCCGAAACAAATGGTCAAAATGAATTAATGAACCATCTATGCCAACAACTTTTGTGCATGTATGTACGACCCTATCAGATAGGCCGGACGAGAACTTACCAAAATTTTTAGTGCATATAATAACAGTGTGCATACTATTACAGAAATAACGCCTAATGCACTGCATAAAGGTTGAAAACCACGACGTCTCATTGATGCTTTAACTTGGGACCAAATTCAAAGGTTACCCGCAGGTACTCATGAATTTGTAGTTTATAAGATATCAAAACGCTCAAGGAAAATATATAGAAAACCCAACTGCTGACCAACAAATATCGTGAGCTATCACAATTTCGGAAAGGTGACCTTGAATGGATAAAGTCTAAAGAATTTTCCTTGGAAGAAAATGAATCTGAGAAACTGTTGCCTGTCTACTATGGACCCTGGGAAGTTCTTAAGGTGATTGGGGATGCAGATGGACCTTCTTACCAGATTGATGTACCCCCACACCTAAAGACCTATCCTGTCTTCCACGCGTTTAAACTGTTTAAATTGTTACCGTATGTAGAGGGAGATGAGTTTCCTAACAGACCATCTATGTTCCCACCCTCCATGAATGGACGATATGAAGTTGAAAAAAATTTGGAATATGGTTACTTCTCTACAAGTGGCAGAGGAAGACCGTAGAAGCAATAAAAGGTAAAGTTCAAGTCTTATCCTCCAGTTGAAGCTAGATGGTTCGGTAAGAAAGAACTGTTACCTACTTTTCCTAAAATTGTTGCTACATATAAACGCTTGTTAAGAGAAAGATAATATATTTCTGCGATGAAACTCTAAATTCGGGCCCCGACTGATATGCCCTGAAGTGGCCCTCAGACCGCACTATGGAACCCGGTTGACCATGTCGTCAGGCATACATTCTGAAACAAATGGCCAAACTGAGCAAATGAATCGTCTTTGCCAATAACTTTTGCGAATGTATGTCCGTCCTGACAAAATTGATTGGGATGAGAACTTGTCAAAAAATACTAGTGCATATAATAACAGTATACGTACTGTTACAGGAAGAATGCCTAATGCACTACATAAAGGTTGGAAGCCTAAGCGTCCCATTGATGCGTTAACTAGGGACCAGATTGAGAGGCTACCCCTAGGAACACGAGAATTCGCAGTTTTGTATGAAGAAGACATTAGGAAAGTGAAGGAAAACATACAGAAAGCCCAACTGCAAATAATTGAACAAGCTAATAAACATCGTCGTCCTTCACAATTTCAAGAAGGGGACTTTGTCTGGGTTAAGTCTAAAGAGTTTTCCTTGGAAGAAAACGTGTCTAAAAAACTGCTACCTCTCTACTATGGGCCCTGGGAAGTTCTCAAAGTAATTGGAGG